GCAAATTAATCGAACCTGATTTATAGCCAGTGGATCAGAAACACTTATGATTAGGATCTGAAGTGGGGAAGGGGCAGTCTTGTAGGACTGAACCCTTAACCAGTGGGACCTGACATTATCTCCCAGCTGGTATCTCAGAATTGCTGTAATTATTAGTACTGTTGCAGTATTGTGTCTACAATACCTCAAACTTAGTCACCAACAGAAATCACAGATTTTTTGTATCAAATTAAAGTTGTAACAGATATCTTGAAATATTATTTATATTCATAACTACTTTGAAGTGATGGTCATTATCAGATTTGGTACTAGACTATGATATTTTATGCAGTTTTTAAACATATCTGCTAATTTTTTTATATTCCTCCCATCAAGAGGTAGGAGCTATGTTCCCACCTCTTGAATCTGGACCAAGCTCAGTGACTTGCATATAACCAACAGAATGAGGTGGAAGTGACAATTCATGACTCCAGGGGATAAGTCATAAAACGCTACGCAGTTTTCACCTTGCTGGAACACAAGCACTGGGAGCTCTGAGCCATGTAATAAATCCAGGTACCCTATGGTTACTATGCTATCAGGAAGACCAAACAAGCCTAAGCAGAGAGACCTGAAAGACAGAGAGCGAGCAAGTTGACCAGGCTCCAACTATTCTTGTTTTGATTGGTAGAAATGTGTGTATTACAGTCTCTCTACTCTGGCAGATGGGAACACAAACTATTCCCAGCCCTGTGCAAGCATCAGAAAGGGTTTGGCCTACTGCTTTGTGGTGCCAGGTCTCATGGAGTTTCAGTCTTCATTGCACGGATCAATACTCAGCCAAAGGACAAGGGGAAAGCTACACCTGGGCAGACCTCTCTCGGTGCCACTTCCTCCTCTCTGATATCTTCTCAATGGCTTCCCTCAATTCCCATCTGTCTCCTCCATTCAGTGAAACCACTGGTCTCTGTTTAAATTCCCTCCCTGTTCTGCCCTCCAGGCAGTAAGCTGGAGTCATTGTAGGACTTACCTTATTTCTCTTCTCTCAAGGATCACAATTCTGTATTGTCTGTTGTCTAATGTCTGAAAAACAGTCACTTCATATATTATGCCCAATTTTCTAGTTGTATCCAGGGGGAAGGCAATTCTGTGCAAGCAGAAGTTCAAATATAACTGTTAAACCTTACATAAAAAACTGAATTATGCTATCTGATCTTAAATTCATACTCAAAAGTACAAAAAAAAAGCCCCTCATACTATATTATTAATAGCAAATATTCCCAAAAATATTCTCTATGGTGGCTCTTATCATCTCTAACTTCCCATTCTTTACCTGGGCATATTCTGGCTTCTTCACTGAAAGAGTTCTTATCACACTATCTATGACCACCGTTATTACTACAGCTAAAGATTACACTTAAGTTCTTTTCTTAGTTGACCTTCTACAGCTGTGCTATCCAATATAGTAGCCACTAGCCCCATGTAGCTACTGAGTACCTGAATTGTAGCTAGTTCAAATCAAGAGGTGCTAGAGGTATGAAAGGCACACCAGCTTTCTCGGACTTTGTATGAAAAAAGAATATAACATACCTTATTAATTTTATATGAATTACATGTTTCAATGTTTTAGATATAATGGGTTAAACAAAATAGAGTTCTAAAATTAATTTCACCTGCTTCTTTTTACCTTCGTGATACGGCAACTAAGAAAACGTGACTCGCATTATACTTCTAATGACCAGTACTACTTTATAGCAACCTCTTGTACTAATAAAACCCCTGCTTTCAACTCTCTCCTTCCACGGTTTTTGGGACTCTGCTCTTCCCTAGTTTTCCGGCTACCTCACTGTCTGCTTCTCAGACCTCTCTTCTGAGACCTAAAACTATTGTTCGCAAGCTTTGGCATGATGCAAGATCACCTAATTGCTTGCCAAAAATGCAGATTCTTAGAGCTTATCTGTAGAGATTCTAATCTAATCTGGCACAAACATTTATTAAGATTCTCAATTTTGTTCTCATCTCCTGTTTTTTTCCAACTGCTTACTACACATCTTGGGGATGTCTCAAACTTAACATGTCTAACATTTAATTCTTTGTCTCTATTTTCCCTAACCCTTTGTCCTCCTAGTTATCCGAGCTAGAACCCTAAAATCATTCTCTCCTTCTACCTCACATCTATATCTAATCAGTTATAAAATCCAAGTAAATCTAATTGCTTAACCTCTATCCTCTTTATGCTTCCTTAAATCCCTTACTTCAGGGCGCCTGGGTGGCTCAGTTGGTTAAGCGACTGCCTTTGGCTCAGGTTGTGATCCTGGGTCCCTGGATCGAGTCCCGCATTGGGCTCCCTGCTGGGCAGGGAGTCTGCTTCTCCCTCTGACCCTCCCCCCTCTCATGTGCTCTCTCATTCTCTCTCTCTCAAATAAATAAAATCTTTTAAAAAAAAAAAGAAAAAATAAATAAATCCCTTACTTCAGGGTTTCTCAATCTTGGCACTACTAATATCACAACAGTTCTTTGTTGTGAAGGACTGTCTTGTGCTTTGTAGGATGTTTAGAAGTTTCCCTATCCTTACCCCAGTAGTTATCAGTAGCACCCCCTACTTTGAACAACCAAAATTCTCTCCAAACATTACCAAATGTCTTGGGGGTGGGGGGTGGGGAAATCACCTCTAACCCCATAGAGCCACTGCATTAGTTGACGGAGGTCCTCATTATTAATCACCTGCATTAGGGCAAGAGATTCCACCTGGCCCTCCTGCCCAGGAGTGGACCTCTTCCCTATTTTCCACTCTCCTTATAGTTTTACAGTTTTCTTCAGTATAAAATCTAGTATTTTTTTCACTTTTTAAAATTTTTTAATTCCAATATAGTTAACATACTGTGTCATATTAGTTTCAGGTGTACAATTAGTGATTCAACAGTTCTGTACATTACTCTGCTCCTCTTGATAAGCGTGCTCTTAATCTCCTTTACCTATTTCACCCATCCCCCCACCCACCTCCCCTCTGGTAACCCTGTTTTTTTTTCTTTAATTTTTTATGCCCCAAAAAGGGTACTATCTGTCTACTTACCTCTCCAGCTTCCCACTCCAACTATACTGAATTCCTTGCAGTTTCCTTAAGGATGGAAGAAAGTCAGAAGTGTTAAGTACACTAGTAGCTTATGAGATAAATGCAAAACTCCTAGGATGTTTTATATAGAGTATGAGTAACTATGTACTTTGTGAAACATAGGCAGAATTGTGTTAAATATACATAGTAAGTTAGTAAACTATAAGGCATGCCAAAGTTAAATAAAAAATATGATGGAAGAGGGTCATTTATAGTCAAAAAGGGATAGAAAAACTAAGGTATGAATAACTGCCGTCTCTGGGCTGAAAGTTTTGTCAGCCCTAAATTAGCTACCCATGACACCTAATACAGTCTCATATGTATGTGCTCCATCCAAGAAATACAAATAAAATCAGTGGTCTGTTCATCAAACTAACTAGTAGGCTCTGGTTGTGGCCAGGCATGTTTCCCTGCATAGCCAACAGAGCAGGCTATGCCACTGGCCCAAAGCACTTTCCACCTGTGGGTCTCCTTGCTATAAGCTCAACTCTAGTCCTTATAAGCATATCATCAGTGGAAAACGCTGATGTGGCAGACAGAACATATGAATATTACATAACTCATGATTTAGGTGATGTTCTTCCACTTGCTTGCACCCTAAGAGTATCAACTTACTCCAATTATTTCCCTTGCTTCTCACTGGGTATTTAAATTGATTCAATAAACCAGGTTATTCAAGCATCTTAATTTGGTCTGTGAGCCTTCTGTTTCATTACCTCTAGGATAGCTTAACTAGTAGTATGCTTGGAGGCCACCAGTGTATCCAGTTATTTTTCCATATGACAGCTCAATTCAAGCATTAATCTCCCCCCTGAATGCCCCTGCCTTCATGCCTCTCGTTTTATCCTGCTCATATCCTTGTGTTTCTATTATGGCATTTATCACACCACACTGTTTACTCCTCTGTCTCTCACTAGTCTGTGAATTCTTTCAAAGCAGGGGTAAATTTTATTTTGTTTTATTATTTCTTAGCAAAGTACCAACCACAAAGTAACAAAAGAACGACTGAATGTGACCTCCTGCAGACACAGCTGAGGGGATTGTCCCTTGTTTTTGCCTTTCTCCCATTCCCTAGTTCTAAGACTGACTTGATTTTAGTGAGCAGCAAAAGCCTGCCTGGTTGCAGAGCAGAATGGAAGTGGCAAGAAGGACTACAGACAGGCTCACTGCATTAAAACAACCTACAGTGGTGTGTTTCTTATTACTAGCAAGCTGGGGTATTGGTATGCCTTATTTCCCCATCTCACATTTTTCACTTGGCTGGTCAAAAAAACCATAGTTTAGGTGTCCCCCCCGCACACCTGAAAATCGTTGAAGGCTGAGACCCTTCAGTCTAAGAGATCACAAGCTCTCAAAGACTCTAGATGAATAAAATCCACTTTAAAAACTGAGCTCCTAAACTGCGGCAGAAAATAAGGGTACAAGAAATACACTGTTTCTTCCCTCAGAAAATTTACAAGCATCTTCCTGGAGCCTACATTTTACTTGAAGTAATAAACATAGCTATTTTTATAGCTTAAAATAAAAGAGATGCATTCTGGAATAGATTTCGCTTGAACAAAAGAAATCACATGAAACGTGAGACCATAAATAAACAGTCTGTTCCAGAGCTTCTTGTAACTCATTCACTTCTCCAGGGATTAGAGGAGTGGGGTGCAAAAATTTGGCCTCACGCACAGGCGCAGAGATTTGCGAACACAATCTAAGTCAGCTGAGCCTGTATCTTGTAAGAAATGGTCCCAGGGAGCTCCCAATTCCCTAACCTCAGAGAACAGACAGCAAAATTGAGCTAGCTTCTAAAACAACCACTGCCTCACGTTGCATCGTCCGCCAATTAACTCCGCCCCGCCCTTTCGGCCCGGGAGGCCGGCCAGGTTTAGATCGCTCTAGGCTTCTCCTGCATGTCTCTTTATGGTAACGCTGAGCCTCTCTAGCCCTCATCCGCCGTCCTCTCAGTGGTAGCGCGGGGAGGAGAGGAAACGCTGGCAGTCAAGTCTGCCGTGCGTGGATGCGGTGCAGCCCAAACTCCGCAGAGGAGAGCGCGAGCTAAGGTGGGAGGGACCGGGGGGAGGCTCTGGGAAGGGCGCGAGTGTGGAGACAGGCCCTTGGGTGAGAGGGGGAGCCAGGACCGGCTCACGGAGGTCTCTAAGGAGAGGTGGGAGAGGAGGCCCAGACACGTGAGGGGGACTTCCAGTTGCTGGCTGAGGCCTCCAGCAGCCGGCCACCCCGCAGTCTCCGGCCTCCCCCAGTTCATCTGCGGGCCCCCTGTGTCGGGACCCAGCATAGTTGCGTCGCATCTGTGTTCTCCTTGGGTTGTCGCCTCTTTTCGGGAGACCCGCAGCCCTCAAAGCTATGATTTAGGCTTGTACTGTTTACAAGAGGGTGATGATGGCCTTGAACCTGGTCCGTAGCTTATATCCCTCCAGTTTCGTTTTTTTATTTTTTAATGAGCATCCTCCCAGCCCTAGCTGTTTGGTTGAGGCCGGAGGCCGATCAGTATTCATTTTTTCCATCCCAGTAGGATGAACATAGTAAATGATCCTTGGACGTAGCTGGGAGCTTGAAACGTTACGATGCGGCTGTCAGCTAGGGGCGTTATGCTTGTGACCACCATGCTGTTGGGGTGGGAATAATTGCAGCATCCTGTGGACCTAGCCACCCTGATTTGGAGAGATTCATCCTCCTTGGTGTGAGATTGTGGCAGTTTACGAACGTGTATTCAAAACACGTTGTTCACAAAGTGCTAGTATTGAAGCTAGAGAAGCCACAACTGTAAAACAGGAACTAGGCGGTTTCTTGTCCTCACAGAGCTTAATATATTACTGAAAAACTAACAAGAACAAAAAAAACCTGTGATGGTACTATGAAAAGGGAAGTCCCTGAAGTTCCTCTTTTGCCTTAGGTGATGAAGAAAATAAAACCATATAGCTCCTGCTTTCCCACAGCTGAGAATAGAGAAAAAATTTGAATGCACTGTTAAATTGTTCTGCAGACCCAGAGGAAGAAGGACCTATAATAATGGTATCTGGGTAAGGCACACCAGATAGGTGAAGACACTGAAAAATAGCATTGCCTGGCACAGAAAGGGCCATGGGCTTTCCAAGCAGGAGGACAGTATAAAGGCTTAAAGTGTAAAAGGCCTTTGCAGGGTGTGTAGTTTGGCCTGGAGTATGTGGCATTTAATGCCATGTTAGAGAGTCCAGACTCTGTTTTTTAGGAAGAGATGAAAGTATTTTCAACAGAATGATACAGAGTTCAGTTTCACAATCACTTAACAACTATAGTGTTAAGTATTGTTTGACAGGTTGGGCCACATCCAGAATCAGGTAGAATAAAGAGAACTTTGCTCATTCTTCTTGGTCTGGAAACAGTCTCTCCAGTTGTTGAAATCCCACTTCAGTTCTCTTTGGCCTTTAAGGACTAGAGGACTGGAGACAAATTGCAAATTTGGAAGCCTGAAGGGTTTGCTAAATTGTTCCCCAAATGATCTAAAAGTATGCTAGACAAAGCATTAAAGAATCTGAGGGGAGTACATTAGGTAGACCTAGAGTAAATCATTAGGGCCTAATTAAGAGGGATTCTTCATATGAAGTAAAATTAGTTTTTGTGGTTTTTTTTTTTTCTCCATTAAGCAAGAACTTGAATGTTGTAATAGGTTCTATGTTAGGCTTGGTAACTAGAGCTCTAAGTTTCAGTTTCATCATCTGTAAATGGGGTGATAATACTTCACTGTTGTCAAGATTAATGAGATGATGTTTGTTCTTAGTACTGTACCTGGCACTTACTAACTACAGGCACTTTAACCAAATATTTTAAATGGTACTATTGACTGTGTTTTGGTTTTAAGTTCTTTACTTTTCCTGTTGGGCCTGATTTAAGGATTAAGGACTATCTCATTTGGCTCTTTAATCCTCCTGTTACTGTCCATTCACTTGTAGTGTGAGTAGTTAGTATTTGAAGATAATGGGTACAAAAAGTTGACAGTTGCAAGAGGCATGACTTGTATGCCTATGACCAAAACTGCTGATTTATAAAGTGCAGATGATTTTTTTTTCATTAAAAGAGAATCTGGGAAAATGCCTTGTAAATTTCTAAGACCCCCCTCCCCCCCAAAAGAAAAAAGGCATTTGTCATGAAAGGGAAAGACTCAACCTAAAAACTCAGTAAATTTCTTGTTTGGCTAAATTTCCTCCTAATGCTACTTTTTCCCACTAATTAGCAGACTGGAAAAGCTGTATTAAGGGAAACCAACATATTGGAAAATATTTTGGGAAATTTCCCTCTAAATTTTAGAAAGAAAAAAAAATTCTCCTTGCGTAATCCCTACCTTCGTCTGCTATTTTGTTAGTGGCAGTGATGGCTGTGGTGTCCTGCTTTAATTCCTGTAGGAGCCCTGCGGTAATGTCCTAGACCTTGTGTTACTAGGAAAGCTTGCTAGTGTCATTTCCTTGTATGAGCTTGCTCAGCTACATCTAGCCTGCCTACCTTAGAGTTTGATAATGGATAGCAAGTGATAATGCTTAAAAGCTTATTCCATAGAATCTAAATGTATAAATTTTTTTAAGATTTTTATTTATTTATATGAGAGAGTGAGAGAGAAAGAGTGCGCAAGCGAGGGGAGGGGCAGAGGGCGAGGGAGAAGCAGACTCCTCTCTGAGCAGGGAGCCTGACGCTGGGCTCAATCCCAGGACCCTGAGATCATGACCTGAGCCCAAGGCAGACGCTTAACCCACTGAGCTACCCAGGTGCCCCTACATGTATAAATTTTAAATTAAAAAAAAAATTCATAGATACAGAGAACAGATTGGTGGTTGCCAGACGTGGGGGAATGGACAAAATGGCAGAAAGGGGTCAAAAGGTACAAACTTCCAGTTATAAAATAAGTAATGCGGATGTAATGTACAGCATGGTGACAATAGTTAATAACACTTGCATATTTGAAAGTTGCTAAGGAAGTAAATCTTAAAAGTTCTCATCACAAGAAAAAATTGTAACCATGTGGTGATGGATGTTAACTAGACTCATTGTGGTGATCTTTCACAATAATACGAATGTCAAATCATTACCTTGTACACCTGAAACTAATGTTATATGTAAATTACACCTCAATTAAAAAAACTTGTTTCTTGAGCTTGCAGTGTTCAAATCATACAAGGAGCAAATAATTTTGCTTACTGCCTAAGGTGATAGAAGGAAAAGAAGGGGTCTAATCTATCTACACTTATTTCATTGTCTTTTGACTCTTCTATTAGTGCTATAAGAATATTAAACGTTAATTTTAGAATCACAAAATGTACTATATGTAGGCACTGAATAAAATGTTGGCAACCCTAAAGCAAAAGAAAGCCCAAGATGCCAAAAATTTTTAGGGATTTTTCAAATAAAAAAAATCCAGAGTTAGTAAAGAGAGACTTTATTTGAAAGGTTTATGGCAATAAGGGAAAAGGAACTATTGCAATGGAGAGAATTCTCTGACCAAAAGATCTACCAGCATCTCAAGGGAGGAGTAAAGGATGCTAGAACAGACTCCTTGATTTGATTGTAGATTCCAGAGTGTTTTACCCTGAGGCCAGCCTGTTCTCTGGAGGAGTTGTGGGCTCTGGCTGAGGGTGGGCCAAAGTTCTGGAACCTGGGGGGAAGGAGAGAAACTTAAAATATAGCTAACAGACATTTTTGTTCCAGTTGGTCACTTTTGACCATGCAGTTAAGATTCACAAATTTATAGGGGTACCTTGGTGGCTCAGTCGGTTGAGCTACAGACTCTTGGTTTCTGCTCAGGTCATGATCTCTGGGTTGTGAGATTGAGCCTGGAGCTCCACGTTGGCCTCCCCGCTCAGCGGGGAGTCGGTTTCCCCACTCCCTCTGTTCCTACCCCCACTGGCCTGTGTATGTTTGCCTGCGCACGCTAGCGCTCTATCTCCCTATCTCCCTCTCCTTTCTTTCTTTCTGAAATAAATGAGTAAATCTTTAAGAAAGATTCACAAATTTATAAGTGAGGCAAAGAATAGGAATTTGGAGAGCCTTTATCTTTCCTAGTCATAGGTAAACAAGGGAGTATCCTCAGAGTCTTGTAGAAGCCATTAGGAGAGGAATGGGAGGATTTTTTTTAACCATGACTCTCAAAGAATCAGGAAAAATTCAACTTCTCAAAAGGCATTTTTGCTATTTGAAATGGAAAATAAGTTTACAAATAAAATTCATCCAGACCTCTACAGGAAGGCCTTAGGAGACTCAGTGACCCTTGAGAAATTAAGTGTTAGTATTTGTAAATCCTTCACTAGGTGTAGTTTAAAAGTACTTCAAGACCTGGATCTCATTTGTATCATAGTAAAATCTTCCCAAAGGTGGGGCAAAAGAACTAAATCAGGTCTAAATGAACACATTTAAGGTTTTTCATTTGTTACTGGTTTTCTTCTTATCCATTTGAAAGCAGTACTTTTTTTTTTTTTCTTCCACGATGAATACTAGATATACTGGTTAAAGTGATTGGCTAGAGCAAATAATCTCTTCCTATGTCTAAAAGAATATTCCACACCCTCATACACAAAGTTCCACAAAAAAAGGGGGCAGAATTAAAATCATGACTGTCACACAGATACAAGATTATGAACACACAGTTTTTGTTTCCCTTACTAATGAGGGAACTGGTAAGATGTTATAACCAGTTCACATGACAAAAGAACAAAACATTTATTGATCAGGAATATTAAAATAAATGAGCACATGGAGGCAAAATGGTCTTCTACAGTAGGCCAGGGAGTCCACTGAATCTCCACTAGACAAAGTTACAAGAATATAGACAAGAATTGTATTTGCATTGCTAACCATTATCTACAGTTGTCAGCAGTAAACTAGCAGTGGAAGACACAGAACTCTCATAATCAGAAGTGAAAACCTTGATAGCTGTGCTTTCAACAATGCATAGTGCTGTATACATCTGTTTTATCAAATTTATGACTCCCCTCCCCTCATAGTCTTCCCTAAATGTCAGACTTCCTGGAAGGCAAGTTCATGTTTGAGTGTATTTTCCTTTTTTTTTTAATATGCTTTA